CAGTGAGCGAAAGTGTTAATTCCTTTGAAAGTTGTTGCTCAACCGAAACCTAATAGACTGCAGTCGTTATGACATCAAGAAGAAGCTAGTTATACTGTTGTATCCACCAAAATTACTAAAAATGTATCTAAGTATGTACATATTTACTTATGTACATATGTAGTATGTACATTGTTGTTCAAATCTAAAAAGGCCTTAACTGAAATTTGTATTTTTTTTTTAAATGGGAAGCAAAAAACCTAAACGTAAAGGATAAACTCTGTGTAGGGTCTTTTGTAAAGTTCCATAAGATCGATGGTTTCTAATTTCCTGTTCCAAAATTTTCAGTGAAGATGCGCTTTAGAAAAAGCAAATTAATGATGCCAAAAAAAAAAAACGATTTATAAAAGATGTAAACTACGGCCTTTTTACATTTCATTAACGATTTTCTGGCGAAAAAGAAGGCAGGTGGCGATTGACAATTCTTAATTTTTTTACTTGTCACTTACCGTAAAACTTATGTTTGCCTGCTAATATTTAGGCTCATGGGCCGCAAACGATTAAACTGTTAGTGCTCGTTGTTTTAGTACACGGTCAAATTTGGATAGAACAATACATGCATTGTTTCTGACCCAGACCCAAAAATCAGTTGGATAGTGTGAATATTTGTATAAATGGCCATTGGCGGTCATCGATCAGTATCAGTTGAGTTGTAAGCTTTTGTGGATTAGCAGGCATCCCTAGAATCGCTGGAAAAGAAAGGAGCTAAACTGTCTCGNTGGATTAGCAGGCATAATTGGAATCGCTGGAAAAGAAGGAACTAAACTGTCCCTTACATATAAATCAAGGGATTACGAAATGAATACACTTATCTGTGCTTTTGTCCTTTTCGCATTTCTGGCCCCCAGCCAGGCGACTTTCGGGAAATTGGCGTTGCTTGCAGGAGGTGGCAGTAGTGGCGCCAGTTACGGTCCTAGCTATGGACCTGGATATGGTGGTGGTTACGGTGGCAGTTATGGTGGCGGTTACGGTGGTTATGGTGGCGGCTATGGCGGTGGCTATGGTATCACACCGTACTCCAATGGTGGTGAGAACATTGTCAAAGTGATTAAGGTATCTGTGG